CCTTACCCTAACTTTAATTAAAAAGTCAAAATCATATAACTGCACCATGCTTTAAACGACCCCCATAAATGGGAGCTGTTCAACGCCTCATCATAAATCTTTTAATATTCGTGATTCCAACACGGTTTTTGTCATCCACTAGACTCGAACCAGCGACCTTGTGAATACGACCCTGGAGCGCTAACCACTGTGCTATCCGACTCAGGGTCTTAATAGAGGGGGGTTTTTTTTTTTAACCCGTCAGCTCACAAGGCCGTTGAGGTGCGTTTGGCGCTCTTTATTTTAATTCAATGTTTAATACATATCGATTACAGTATACTAGCTATTCTAACTATCTATTCTAATGCAAGCGAATTTCAATCTTCGCTTGTTTGAGCCCTTTATTAGTCCTGTCTTCAGGACCTTAAATTCATATGTCAAACTGTAACTCATGCGCCGGATTGCTGCGTCACAGGACAAGGCTTCCTTACCCCACTTATACACTGCGAACATACACCAGAGTTCGTAGATGACCGTTGTGTGTAACAATGATACTGCCTCTTTCTTGCCGGAGTTTTGAATGTTGTCTGCGGAAAAGACGTCTTCTATCGTTTTTGGTGGTGTATCCCCTTCCTCCAAATCCAAACTTTCTCCCAGAAGATCTTACTAACCCTACATGTGATTCCAAAATGTTCTCTGCTCTGGGTACTGCCTTCGCACCATGGACAGTTCCCATTTTCATTTTCTCCCATGTGTTTGGTATGGTAACCTAGTGGGAGAGCCCCGTGGTATAGCCTCCACATAATGTCTTTTTTTATGTTTGCGATTCCATTCAGACTCAACCAGGTCGGAACGTGGTTTTTCGTTTCTTCTGTGCTATCGGTACCTGGTTTCTTGTTGCTTCTAAGCAGTTCAATAACGCGCTTGGTTGAAATCTGCTTGCCTATCCATTGGTCTATCATAATTTCAGGTTCTTCCCACGGCCAGTTGGATCTAGCTAGGATTCTTCCTTTGACTCTTCCCCAAGCTCTTATATATGGCTTCCATACATTCGGCCAAGTTTTTAGTTTGACTGGGTTTGCATTCAGGGCCTGTAGAGGTGAGATATCCCTCTTCTTCCTTAGCTCCTTTGCGACTGTATCTCTTAGTGCTATTGCCCATGTGCAGTTCTTCGTAACTAGGTTCTTCCAGACCATGATGAGTCTGGCATCAAGAAGGTCCCTTAGAATTGGGGCCCTCAGTCCTAGATTCTCGAGTGACTTTTGGAATGTAGAGTACTTAGGCAACATCCTCGATTTCTGCTTAATCCAGAATGAGAGTTGGTTGTTGACTTCTGCCAGTTGCTTCCTGTTTGGGGGCATATATACGCCGAGTACCAGATCCGTGACAATATCAGGGAGTTGATTACTAATATTTCCCCCCTGAAGGAGAGATTCCTTTTACCGTACTTTTCCAATAACCTCTTAATCTCTTCAATTTTTTTGGCCCAAAATCCTTTCACCGGAGAGCCATCTCTTTTTAGTTTGTGGCCTAAGAAATTTCCAGGGAGTCGTCTTCCCCACCCTTGGCAAGCTCTTCCTCCCCTTCTAGCTCTACTCTCTCCGCGGTTGGTGTCAACAGTATCAGCTTAGTCTTCCTTTTATTTACCTTTGCATTTGAAGCGGCTTCATAAGTATGTAGGAGATCTTTTAATCTCGTCCAATCTGAGCTCGAGCCCAGCCGACAGTGAGATCGTCAGCATAAGCCGCCAGTTTAAAGTATGAGTTTTCTAGTGGCAGACCCCTGGTTTGGTCTCTGATCTGAATTAGCAGTGGTTCAAAAGC